AATTTTGCAGCAGCCAAATGAATTAATTGAAGTTGAAGTGGGGGTGCAACACTAAGCCTAACGACAAGAGGAATTGTTTTCAAATGCAATTGTGTGTTAGGTTAAGTTGGTGAATTAAGTGTTGTGTGTTAGGTGAAGTTAGTGTGTTTAGAAAATTCAATTGTATAATTCAGATTTTCACTTCCCTTAGGCCTATAAATAGGGAGGTTCTCTAGGCTTGTAAACACACCCCAAGGGGGGGAGCTCTCAAGCACTTCTCTAGAGCTCCCTTCCCTTCTCTCCCTCAAATTCTCTTAGTTTTGCTTTCTAGTTCTCAATTCTAGCTTTCTTTAATGTTTTCTTAGTTGTAATTTATTTTTCTTTGTTATGTAAATTCTTTTCTTAAGTTTTCAAGTTGAATTAGTTTTCAAGTTTCAATTATGGTTTTTGTTCTTATTCATTATGCTTATAAGTTAATATGCTAGTTTGAATGATTGATCACCATTTAGGCTTGCATGTTAGCTATCTTGGTTTGAATTAAGAGTAGACACCCTGCTTTAATTCGAATTGAACTATGAATAGGAAGAGTATGTATGGACATTCGACAACAGGGATTAGATACATGCTTGGTTGTTTAAATTGTTCTTCTATGCTTAATGGGTTCCTAATGCTTAATTTTAGGTTAGACAACAAATGATCAAATTAGGGAATTAGGAACACAAGGTTATGACCAAACACCATGGCTTAATCATACATTAGCTAGAATCAATCCGTTAATCTAATTGAACTTGGGAACTTATTTGCTTGAGGTATTTTCTTTCTTCCTTGTTGTATTTATTTCTTTTTTTTCATTTCTGTTTTGTGTAGGGAAACTAAATTGGATCATTCAATCACCAATCCCTGTGGAATCGACTTCGCACTTACATACGCTAAACTATCAACGGTTCGTGCACTTGCGAGTATCACAAGTTGAGGATGCAACTGAATCCATTTTGGTGCAGCTGTATCTACGCAACAGATGCCGTTCGGCAGGGTTTGTTTTTTCGATTTTCCTATGCTGCCGTTTCCTTTCTGACTTCGTGTTTTTTTTTGTTTTGCAGTGGAAGGACGGAGGCCTATGAGCGAGGCGACGAGGAGGCGTCTAGAGGGGCAAGGGGCGTCAAAGACGAAGAAGGTTCAGTCCCCTGGGCCGAAGAAGAGGAGGACGGCAGGGCCAGCGGGAGGGACGTCGGCTGATGAGCAGACGGTGGCTGATCGCCGCAGGGAGAAGAGGGCGGCGGAGGCAGAGGTCGTTCGGGAGGCCCACCTCCAAATGACGGGCAAACGGCAGATCGAGGGTCCCATCGATGTGACGCCGTTGCCGAAACGGCCAAGGGGCCCGAACGAGGGGACCTCGGTGCTGATCCCTGATGATGAGGTGGAGGGGGAGGAGGGACCGGTTAACATCGCGTGTCCTCGGAAGGCGGTGCCGTTCATCAACTGTATGATTGACGGTGCCCAGATGGAGCTGGCTGAGCTGGAGCAACTGTCAACGAAGACGTTGCGTGAACAAACCGGTCGGGCCTTCTGTCTCCAGGCAGCGGTAAGTGTAGGATTTGTAGCTTCTCAAGGATACTTCGATTCGGCATGTACTAATGTGTCCGTTGGTGTGGCAGGCTAATATGGACATGTGGCTCTGCGCGAAGCGAGCTGTGAATGCTGCCGAACGGTACCAAAAGAGATTTGAAGAGGGCCGTTCGAAGATCGCTGATGCCGGAAAGATGCTGCAGGAGGCGGA